AAATGGAACTAAGATATCTTGTGTGTTTGGATTGTTTATTATCAGCACATCAGTGATATTTGTATTGGCATATACAAAATCAGGGATCATTTAGATTTGCTGGTTCTTGAATGGTTGTTGCTTCGTCGTGAGCAAAGGACAGATATGTGTCTTTTCACAGATCCAAGCCACCATAAACAGGTTCAGGTGATAGTAAATACCAATTGTACAAATTCATGCAGTTTACTGTTTTGACATCTTGTGGCATAATAGAACGGTATAACGATAAATCAAGTACGAATAATAGTACAGTCGAGGCAACCTTTTGATTTAATAAAAGGATCTAAAATATTTTACTAGTTCAAAATGGGGAACACTTGTACGCGTGCATATTGCTTAGTATTAGGCAAATACCTTTCAAATTTTTTCTTTTATTTTAACAGTTGTAAATGGAATTTGTGACAGAAATGCAACATCAGAATGTTTTGCTGGTTTGGGTCAATTCAATATTAAAAATATGCAAAAACAATGTGCGTAAGTATTTATCATCGATAACCAACTCAGAGATTTGTATTGTTTGCTTTTGAGAAAAATAGTTACTCAGAAATGTATGCCAAATTATGTTAAAACTCATATGTAAAGGGGATTGATTAAGCATTATGTAAACATGAAAACTTTGTTCTTTTGTCTTCAAAAATGGATAATTTTTTTCATTGGCAAGGGCCAGCGTGAGCTTTTGGTACTACTTTGCGTCTGTCGTTTGCACTGGTCCTTTCAATATTACAAAGACTACGGATAAATTTAATGACACCATTGATTGAATAATGACAGCTGTCAGAATACGAATACTTATGTATTAATCAGCAACCGACAATTCAATAGTTACTTTTTTACAGTAGAAGTATTTAATAAAAACACCTTTGTATGGCATGACGATTAAAGTATCGACACATCAAATTTCGTAATAGAAAGACATCCTTTTACCACTGAGTGTACATATCAATAGAAAAACAATAATGAATTACGTTATTTGCGGGGCATAAACAAACGTTAATGGAATAATCCTTACTAAACAATTGAAAACAAACATATCTTCATACGTGCAAAAGCCTAGACAAAAATAAAAAGAAATGATAGTAGATGGAAAGAAATTTAAATAAGCAATATGGATCAGGAAAATTCGATCAACAAAACGGTAGAAAACCTATATGCAACACAGGGGACATTGGAGTGCTGTTGTTCTTTTTTTTTCTTTTTTATCTTTGAGACCATACTGGCTATACAGAAACTTGGTCGTAGCAAATGCTCAACAAGATAGATTTGGCTTACATGCTATACAGTTTTCACTCAACACACTTATTTTTTATTGCATCGTATCATATATCTATTTTGTTTAGAAAATGCTAAGTGAATGATACATGTTGTATGGATCCTCTAATGTACTCAGACACATCTTTAAGAAGAGAGGAATCTTTAATTAATAAATATAAAATTAAGGAGATCTGGTATGATTGCCAATGAGACCACTTTTCACTTATATCGAATGAAGTAGATGTAAGCAATAATATGCAACCGTACGGCCTTCAACAATGAGATAACCCCATACAGAATATATACTCGGCTATAATATGCCTCAACATGATATATGAAACAATTTGATTAAAAAAAAAGGTAACGCCCATTTCAGGTGAAAGTTTTGGTCAAGGTGGTTATCCATGAAGTTGCGGTTACTTGTTGATCATTTTTATTATGATGTGAACTTTATTTTTAATTTCAACCCGGATCCTCTGAAATTTTATAGAAATATTATACACTTATTGAAGTTGTACACCTTTTATTATGCATAGTTTGAGGAATTTACTCCTATTTTCCAGCCTTTGGAACATTTAACACATTTCTGAGTATAAATAACAAGATGAATAGTGAATTGTTACCTTTCCATCAATGGAGTGTCAAAGTATTGCTTGTACATCTATTAAACAGTTAATTAAGATCACAATTATTGAACTTCCTGTCTATGAAAAACATAAATGTTGGCAATAGTTAAAAACTTAAGACACCAAAAGTCTCATTAAACAAAAAATTGGCGAAAAAAAAATCATGCTGAAATCCCAGATTGATTGACGATCTGGTTGGGTCAAAGAAAAAATTTGGAGTTAATTAGAAAATTCCTACAGGGTCCCACGAGCTAATATCAGGTGTGACAGTTAACAGGTATGCAATAAGAATGAAATTTCCATTAAATGTAAAATTTGAGTTTCATGTATTTCGTTAGGCTTCTTTATTTGATTTGGCTTTGATTCAGATTTGTGCAGGCCTGTTATTGTGGAAGAGTCAGTCAACCGAATAATATATATGTTATAAAAAATGTTCTTGTTGTGAGGTTGACAATATTAACATGTGCAACTTTTTATTTGATTGATATGTCATTCTAATTCTCTTGATGGATACGCTCTGCTTGAGTATGCTTTTCTTGGAAGATCTGGTGCTTTCCGTAGTGGATCTTGGGTGCTAATTTTTGGGATGAGCTACATTATACTTGGAGCTCGATTTTAGCATTAGCACTGGATCTCGGCTCGCGACAAGATTTGACAGTTGGCGCCGACTTAAAGAAATTACAGGTACAGATGAATAACCTATTTCAAAGATATCTCCTTTTGTGACTCACAAACAAAATTCATAGCATTTCTGGCACTCTGAAAAATGCGGAAGCAAATTTTTGTTCTTCCCTCGCCGGGATTCAAACTCATGCTATTGGGATATCAAGACAACACCGCCTGCACTGTGTCCATCGATCTAGTCCACAGGGCCACCTAGACTGAACTTATAATTCAGCTTTCGGTGGCCTAGTGATACCTTTCCTCGTCAGTAGAATCTAGAGTTGTAACACAGTACATGATATATTAGGCATGAAGATGGAATTGATTGCAGATTAGCTAAATATCTATCGAGAAGGATCGTAAGATACAGTCACAGAAATAATTATTTTGATAAGTACGTCTAACAAGTGACAACTCTGCGACAGATCCATCCATTGGATCACCAGCGAAGGTGATACACGACTGAAAACACATATTATATTCATAATTACTCTATATATATATTCTGTTTAAATCAGCAAAATCTAAGAAGAGGTCGATAAACAGGGTTAAGTAAGTATTTTACTTTTTTTGTTATGCCTCTTGGAAATAGAAATAACATAGAAAATAACCTTGTTAGCAATCGCATGCCTACATTTCTTTTTGAACATTTCTGAATATATTTAAAAGATCGATCAAAAATATAATGCCCTTGGACAGATGAAATATGTGCATTGGCAGGGCACTTTAGAATCCAATTCTTTTCCTTTTCCTTTTTATTATATTAGTGTGTGCAGTTGATGACTGTTTCAATAGCATGCAGCAATATCAGCCACAGACTTCAGGTGAACATTGTACAGCAACACCGGAACTTTGTGCGTAAGTGATTAAACCAGATAGTTGTTCAGCACGATACAAAGTGTATGTTTTCTAAAAAAAAAAAAAAAAAGAATGCAGTGTTTTATTACGAAATGTAAATTATAAAACGTTTATAAAATATAACTTGAAACAACACAAAGAATCTAGTCTGTCAAGGTTCTGGATTTAGATCTGTGTCAGCTAACCTGAGTATACTCTAGATGTTGATGATGATATGGTATGAAGAGTCTCACAATAAGCAGGATTAGGTCAACATGACCTAAATGTCATAGTTTAGATACCTTGATGTAGAAGTTACCATAAAGTATAGGATACTAGTAATCTAATCTTGCATGTTGTTACAGTTTGGCAATCCTGCCAGTTTACTAACTGCTGTGGATTCATATATTTTCTTGGGTGCCAATTTTCTTGCAAGAAAACTGATACTTTCGTGAATATTTGACATACAAGCCAAAAGAAAACGTGTACTTCATTGAACAGTTAAATTTGTTTTTCACATTTACCCACGAAAATTAGTTTCTCTCGAATAATAATGACATATACAATGCAAAACTGCGAATTTAGACTGACAAACAGTATCGCATTGCATAATTTATTATGTAAGTTAACAAATGGGTCAATATCCCCAATGCGCCTCAAATTGAGGAACACAAAAGTTGTGTGTAAACAAAAATTCTCTGTGTAGTGATATTGGACATGTTTCTATTTTTAACAATTGACTGAGCTTAACCATTTGTGTTGATTTGAAAAGTAGAGGACCATAGAATAAATGTGTAAAAACTATGCAGTTATTAAATGTATGCATAGTATTAAATTTTCAAAGAACTTATTGTGTGAAAAAAGGGATTTTTTTTACCACCAGGAGCCGCATCACGATGGGATTTTCGGGGTGTGCTTATTTACGGAAAAATGAATCACACTTCGTACCCCGAAAATTTAACCACATATGTGAAAATGTCTCAGCTTCGAAATGAGCCATCATGCATATCCAAGTTTACGATATGGACTGTGCTACAGAGGAAAACGTTACCATTACCGCCTTTGTAAAATTAATTACGCATATTGCCCCAAATAGGCAAAACTTTGCCAATTGATATAAAATGACAAGATGTGGTACGATTGCCAACGAGACATCTTACCACCAGAGACCAATTGACATAGAAGTTAGCTACTATAGGTCACCATACGGCTTTCAAAAATGAGCAAAAACCCATACCGCAAAGCAAGCTATAAAAATCTCAAAAAATGTAAAACATTCCTCCCCCAACCTTATCAGTCGCAAGCAAATATAGAATGCCCTCGTGGGCTGAGGCGTTTTGTTTGGAAAAAATACAAATATTTACTACTTGGATGCAAATTGTATTTTCTTTTAGATCATCTCTGTCTGCAATTCGTATCTGTTTCTCAAAATTCATGTTGTTTATTGACAGCATGACAGCATGATTTAAATTTTCTGGTTCGATAAAAGCTTTGTATTAAAAGTCAAAGTCAAAAGTTTACCTAAATGTCTGAAATTGAAAAAAGATAGCTATTTTTCTTACCAATGGACTTTTATTTAATGTTATTACAGAGCAGTGCATACGTTTAAAACTTGTGTAAAACAGAGAAAGTCTCAATGTCCAGATTCCAAAAGAGTTACAAAGGCAGAGGTGATGATAAACAAATATGAATTATTATGTGGTGGTAAGTACAAACACAGAGCATGATATGTACAAATGGGATTTTGTTTGCTAAATTTAAGGTTCATTGAAATCAAGTACTTTTTATATTGAAATGGGTTATAAAGAGTTTTGTAACTGTTCATTTCATAAATTTGCATTTTCATTTTACAGTATAAAACTAAACCCTCTTTGATTTTGAAGAAATTTACTTTATAATTCTATATTTCTCTTGACTCAAACGTATCAAAGTTCATAGTTCATGATCAGGGTTAATGTTTTATGCTTAGGGTTATTAATGTTGTTATGAATTGTAATTCGATTCTATTTAGTTTATAGAATCACTGTGCCTTCCGATAGAAGTTACTTAAACTTGACCTCACTTTCATAGTTCCATGATCAGTGCTAAATTTTTCTTTACTTTGAGTATAAGGTCACCTATACTTTGTATATAGGAACAGTGTACCGGTACATGTTCATCTGAGATGAGTTATTTGACTTTTGCCTCGTATAGGGGGTCAATGATCAACATTAAGATATTTGCACTTGGGTAAGTTTCTATGAGTAATATGCTAATTTTTCAATAGAATGTCTGAAGGAAAAGCCGACCTTCACCATTTTTTCATAGTTCAACAGTCATTTGAAAATGATTATTAACATAAGAAGATGAGGTATGGTTGCCAATAAGACCACAGGTGACCAAGTGACGTAGATGTTAGCAACTATAAGTCTTGACTGGTTAAATGAGGAGTAAATTAACTATTATGAACGGTAACAGAAAAGTTGAAGCAAGAAATGGGGATCACTTCTACCTTCTTTGATTGTCATAGTTTGTGTTCCGCCTGTCACTTCATGTACATCTGCATTTGTTAGAAACCGCTCAACACAACCAAATTTCTACAAATTATTTTACAGGATATGAAGTTGTGCGTTTGCTAATCACGTTTTAGATATAAATGATTTTTAGGTTTCCTTAACCAAAACATAGACTTAGCTGTTTCTGCTTATATCAGTTTGTTAATTTGCTACTCCTTGGAAAGGACTTAGAAGAAATCAACCAAACTTTCACAATGCAAAAGGTTAAAGACCATGAGATCACGTTGATTGCGATAACTTGACCTTTGAATTGAGGTTAGATAAATTTATCAATTCATTTTACTTAATCAAGTGTTAGTTACAATAATTCATTGATCTGCTAATCAATTAAAGTGAAACTAACAAACTGTTACATCATTTTGTGTTGACCCTAGATATTATATTATAGTATAATTTGAAAATTTTCTCATGAAATTGAATCAAATAACAATATTTGTTCAACTCATCTTGAATTTATTCTTTTGATGAACGTTATATCTATTGTCTAATATTATCACTTTCATCTTTGGTGTCAAAATATCCAAATTTACTCAATGCTGGAAAGACTCTATAACTGGTGAACACGTATGAAAATTCGACAGTTTCTATTGAAAAATAAATATCATTTACAGTGAAAACTGTTCAAACTAAATCCTGATTGAACAGTATACTTGTCTAAACCAGATATACTCCAAATATACTAAAACTGATATATTTTGAACATTTAAAACAAATTATCCAAAGCCAACATATTACTTCGTCCTCAAACATTTCGATTCGACAGGTTTTACTATATCTAAATAGCTTTTTTTTTTTTAAATTTCAGTCGTAAACCTCCTTAAACAATATTAAACATCCTTGAACCATAGTTAACATCCTTAAACTATCACATGGTAAAACGCATGACTTATCCACTACAAGTACAGAAGACAAACAGCATACCTCTAATCTACCATAATGCAGTTATTGAGAAATAAAATCAGTGATTGCCTGGAAGATTAATCACTCTGAAGTATTAAAACTAAGGCATTTGCTACGTTATTTAATTGGTTAGATCCGGGTTAAGGATGGAAACAAAATTAGTAATGTCTGTGTTAATGTAAGTTCCATAAATGCTGTTTGATATATCATATGAAGCTGAATTAAAATTAACAGTGTTACTGAACACATTATGAATAAGTGAAATGAAAACAACACGTTATAAATTTTATACGTCCGACAAGCGTTCCTAGATTCACGTTCATCAGGAACGCCCAATGCCGAATATTTGGAAGCCAATTGTGTATAAGGACCGAAACAGTTGAAGAGCTTTATTACCAAAAAGTACATAAACATAGCGAAATCAATCTAAGATTAACTTTGCCTTAGGGAGTTGAAACCTTAGTTTCTAATAATTTAAAAATTCATTGACGGAAAATTTTAGAAAACACTGTTATAAATAATGTTAGTACCGAAGTACTGAATACTTGGGGCTGATGATATCCTCGGGGAGTTATAGTCCACTAACAGAGTCATCGACCCAGTGCTGTAAAAAAACGAAAACAACACGTTATAAATTTTATGCGTTCGAAGCGCTTTTCTGTATTACATTCATCAGGAACGCGCCAAACCGAATATATAAAAGCCTGGATGGTTAAGGACCAAAACATTTGAAGAGCTATATTACCAAAAAGGTCACAAACGTATCAGTGATTTTATTAGAGCTGTGACCTATATTTACCAAACTCCGAAACAGTGGTAACGTCGTCCTTTCTACGCTACGTTGAGTTTAGCAAATCAACGTTACTACTTTTTTTGCTAGATCTACCTTCTGTTGCATTTTTTCAAGTACGAGTAACTTCCCGTTCGATCAAGTTAATAATATTTCTGGGTAAGTTACATGTTTTTTCTGTGAATTGTTACCATTGTGAGGTAGCACCTATGACATTTGTATCAGTCTTGTTCTGTACAAAGCAGCATATATAATATGACGTTAAATGTATGTCCTAACTAAGCATGTCTTAGATGCATGATTTTTTTATTAGTTGTTATTGGCTTTGAACTAGCTGTCAGTAACTGCGAGTACTCTCACTTCTGTACTTAGTGTCTTTTTGTTGTTGGGATGTACAAGTACCCGGCCAAGTCCACTCTGTGTTTTTGTTAGATGTATTTCTATTTGTATCCATCTGATGAGTTAAGCCTTTTTCAACTGATTCTTATAGTTTGTTCTTATGTTGTACTGTTACACCACTGTCCCAGGTTAGGGGGAGGGTTGGGCGCCCGGTAACATGTTTAACCCCGCCACATTATGTATGTGCCTGTTCCAAGTCAGGAGTCTGTAATTCAGTGGCTGTCGCTTGTTGCTGTGTTACAAACTTGTTTCGTTCATTATTTTGTACATAAATTAGGCCGTTAGTTTTCTCGTTTGAATTGTTTTACATTTGTCATTTTAGGGCCTTTTATAGCTGACTATGCGGTATGGGCTTTGCTCTTTGTTGAAGGCCGTACGGTGACCTAAAGTTGTTAATTTCAGTGTCATTTGTTATCTTCTTTTTCATATGTAACAGCTAAATGGCAATTCCCTATGAAATATTGAGATTTTCTTTTGCAGCCTATGCAAAATAGCTTTCATGAATTAATACACGTTTGAAAAATTACTTTCATTTTTAAATGCACATTTATAGACATTCAAAATTGTGTATATATTTGTTAGGATGTGATGCTCGTAAATTGATGACATGTGTACATATGCTTGGAAATTTGGTAACAGAGGATTTTGAAGGATATTTTTCTTCTTCTTCTCAGCTTATTAATACAGTTTGTCCGTAAGTAACTATTTCTTCGCTTTGTAAACAACGGCGTGATACAATACTCCATATATCTATACTAAGAGGAGAATCAGAGATATCGCTATTAGAGGCTGTTACAATTTACCTCCAACGTTAATCCACATTTATTGTAACCAATATGCTATGTTGATTTCGATGTGTTCAATTCGAAATTGAAAAAAAAAATACAGAACCGCTATTCCTAGTATAATGCATAACAAAATTAATGCATTAGAGCTTAAAAATGTATAACAATCGAAATTGAATTATTTTCCGCGAAACTTCATAAATGATCTTGGAAATTCTCAAACTGAAGGTTATTCCGTTACGTTAACGTTTCAAATTTGTATAAAATCGCATTAAAGTTTTAAGGTAGGTGTTGTTTCATTTTCTATTATATTGCATTATTCGCACATTTACGGAATTCAGAAGGTCAACATGGCGGCTCACTCTTTAGTTACGACATGTCAACTGTGGATTTGACGGTTAAATAGTAGCCCACGAAAAAAAATTTTTTGGGTTGAGAACTATAATGATAAAACACTTTTTTGTATGTTATTTAAGAAATAATTCATGCAAGCAATAGATTTATTTGAAAAGTTTAGCTATATCTTACAGAGTGTAGAATAGAATAGCCACAAACAAGGCATAATTACCTTCGCTTCATTTTTGTAAATTACCGTATTTGTCCTATTACAATCGAAATAATTCATGCGAGCCATGGATTTGTTATTCTTTTCAAATGGCCTTGTCATGTGAAAAATTCCAACTAATGTATGGCTTAAATTTGGTTATTTCTTTTCTATTTGGCAAGAGATTGCTTTCGCTAATTTTCCAATAAATAAAACTGTAACTTATCAGCTTTCCACTATTGAATTTTCCGTATCTATTTAGCAACATTCCAGCAGAGCTGGCATGTAGAGTTTATATCTCCAAGTTAATACGATATTCAAGAGCTTATATTTTTGTTTTTCCTATCTGATTTTCTTGAAAGAGGGTTGGTGCTCACAAGGAAACTATTAAATCAAGCGTTCCAAGTGGTGAAGTTGAAATCATCCATTTGAAAATTTTACGGACGCCAGCACGAGTTTGTTCGCCGTTATGGAATTTCTATTTCACATAACCACAATACCGTCCTCTTTTCCTCGAATATAAGCTACCGAATTTGACTTATCACCAAGTTTATACTTGCATGAGCAACACCACGGGTGCTACTAGTGGAGTAGGATATGCTTATCTTGCCGGAGTACCTGCGATCACCCCCGGATTTTTATGGGGTTTGTGTTGCTCAGTCTGTTTTCTATGTTGTGTTTTGTATCCTGTTGTTTGTCGTTTAGTTATTTTTTTTCTCGTTTTTACCATTGCGTTGTCAGTTTATTTTCGACTTGATGAGTTTGAATATCCCTTTGAAATGTTTAGCCTCCTTTTTATCAAATTTCGTAAATTCTATCTTTTAGACAGGATAATTTCAACGTTTTAATTTCCATGACAAGAACATTGTATTTAATAATTTTTTTCAAGTTTACTTTTATACCTAGTTTCACTTTCTATTTACAATTATTCACAATGGTGACTTTGTGACATGGGTTTGTACTTAAGCATCTATTTTGTATTTGTTCATCCTGATGATAATGCCCTAGGCACTGAAACAAGTAAAACTCATTAAATTCATACTGCCATCCCTAAAACGATGTTTTTATAAGAGCCTTTACACATAAGGATAAGCATGAACAACATTTGATTGATAATGCCTTTGATTTATGCATAATACATGTTTTAGTATAGCTTCAAATGAGAATAAAACAGTATGATTCAGTTACAATAGTACTCATTCAAAAATTATGCCTGTTAATTATTCCATCTAGTCAAAAGTGTATTCTATAACCAACTTGGTTCAAAAAAGACAGATCTTCTACCCTTAATAAAATTGAGAATGAAAATGGGGGGAAAAAACAACAACCCGATCAAAGAGAAGAAACCAGCCTAAAGCTATCAATGGTTCTTCAACACAGCGAGAAAATTCCGCACCCGGCGGCGAGCTTCAGCTGGCCCCTAAACAAAAATGTGTACTAGTTCAGTGAATATAGACGTCACACTAAACTCCGAATCATATAAATGACCTAAAATTAAAAAACATACAAAACTAACAAAGACCAGAGGATCCTGACTTGGGACAGGCGCACAAATGCGGCGGGGTTAAACATGTTTTCTGGGATCTCAACCCTACCCCTATACCTCTAGCAAATGTAAAATAAACAAACACACAGCAATATGCACAGTAAAACTCAGTTCAAAAGAAGTCCGAGTCCGATGTCAGAATAGTTAACAGAAGAAACAAAGCAAAATGACAATGATACATAAATTAACAATGCGAATTATGCAATAAACATTTGATTTATCATCTATTTTAGAAATTTCAAAAGTTTTAAGGATTGTGTATCTCCAATCAAAACTAAGTGTGACGCTATTAATATGGCTCAAGCACAGCAAATCAGCAAGAGCATTGAGCCAGTTCTTAGTTTGATCGACTTGATGTGTGGCGCTGAATTTAAAGCAGGTAGATACATAATGTATGTTAAATGAAATGGTTTCCTCTTAATTATACACTGTAATTGTTGATATATTTCGAGATTGTAATGCCTAAACATGTTATGTGTGGTATAAATATGCACATCAGATGATGCCCCTAACACCATAATTGTTGACTTGTTCAAACTATTTGCACAAGGGATATTTTTGGGTATTTTATGAATATATATCTAATTCCAATTTTCAGGAATAGTGTTATAGATAAAAATGATAACACGAATTCCAAAAAAATTGCACGGTACAACAGACCATTTCAACCACCAACTCACCAAAACAATATACCAACCAACAAAGACAATAACAACGAACAAAACATGGTCCAGAGTTCTTAACCTTTTACTGGTTTACCTTTTGTGTTTTATATTTGATATATTCACAAAATAAAGTTTATTTTATAAACAGAATAGAAAACAAAAGAACTCAGCTTTAATTTAGTGCTTTGATAGAGCACCCTTCAAAAATGCAACTCGAGATAATTGTGCAAGCATGATGGCTCCAAAACAAGAACCAGAATCTTCATTTCCGTCTTCCGAATCGAAAGCTCAGGAATGTCAGTAAGCAAACAAAAGTATTGGTGCAAAGCATTGAGATAAAAGTTGCAGAATACGAAACATAGAAATGACAAACCCGTGACAGAAGCGACGACGTTTACTATTTGTAAAAAGCTTTATGTGTCAGAAGGTAAGACTACCTGGGTTATTTATACCTTGTGTGTAGATACCCGAAGTTACGAAGTTTCCGTCTGTCACATGTTCATGGTTCAGTGAGTGAAATACTTACTTATTATGAATAACAGGATAACTATATTTGGTAAATGGGTTCCTTCCGAGTCACCAGACCTTCACTTCGTTTCATGGATCAGTGATCAAGGTTAAGTTTGTTGCATTTTAGTGAATTTCATCAAGAAATAGGTGATGTTACCTTTAAGGTGGTGATTAAAGAGAAAAACAAAATAAAATCTGTTTTTATGCAAAAAAACAAAAAAATAAGAAGATATCAATGATTACCAATGGACAATCAAACTCGGTTAATCCTAGACAAAAAAAAAAGTAAAACAAAATCACAATTTGCCAAAAAGAAGGCGAAAATAAAGTAAGAACAAACAACAGTCCACAACTACTGCTGATTGACAGAAAGCTAATGATTGATCAACATGAACCACACCAAAACAAGGATGCTCTTGCAATTGAGGTATAAATCATTCTTGTTTAAAATATGCATAATATTAGCTGTTACACAAATTCATTTTATTTTAAGAAACGCTTGTGTATACTTTTTAATCTTCAAGAGGTCCCTTTTTCGACATTTCTTTTGAGTAAATTTTTTTTAACACAAAAACAAACAACAAAAAAATATTTCAATGTTCAAAAATAATTAGAAATCATAGCAAGAATTGGGCTCTAATGATAATAATTAACAAAATCTCACTAGGCTCATAACTATTTGGATTTTAGTTTTGAACAATAAATTTCACACATGGGAGAGGATAAATATTAAAAAGACGTTTGGTTTAGTATTTCCTTTGCCTCTAGGCGATCCTATTTTTTTTTGTTAGATCGAAGACTTCGATGTGTCAATATCTTGGAGTATAATCTGTTATGCTCTTGTTTATATTGTATTCCTGTCAAAATTTCTGTAAAAGTTACGATACATTTTACTTTTAGGCGTACTCACTCAATGTTTTAATGCATTGTAAAGCAGGTCCACGCAGTGTGTTCAGCTGAAGCAGGAGAGTTTGTGGCAAAAGTTGCAGGTAGATACAAGAACTCTGTCCTCAGAGGTCTTGGTTGTTCAACAAGTGGTAATTACATCACACGTGTATTGTTATACCTGAAGAAAAATGAAAAATGTTTAAACTGCATTATCTGATCAGGAAATAAGTAGATATTGGTTGTTTTAGATTAAGAGGGAATGATTGAGACCTTAAAGACAAACTAATTTAAACCTGTCACGTCTTTATGTGCCAAGGATATGAATGTAAAGTTTTAAGTACTCACAGTGACTAATATCTTATTTACAATATGTTAAAAGATATCATTGAAAGTGTTATATGATTACACATCAGCAATTGTAGTTGTACCCTCAAAAACAAAATGTTTTCCTTCTAAAATATCTGTAACCTTTTTATCTATGACGTAATGTCCTACATATTCTGCAAAATATCCTGATATACTAAATACTTTTTCCATTCCACATGTTAATGTTTTAAGTTTATTGAAGTTACTCAGTAAATAAACTGTCCTGACAATGGTTTTTAGCCTCAACTTTACTATCAACTTTTGATCTTATACATAAGTGGATAGTGATAACTTATTCAGATTGATTAATGTTTCAGTATATTAAGTCTTAATAGCACTAGCAAGGCCATAAGTATGATGTGCAAATTTTATCTCAGTTAAATCTTTAGTTGTAAATCATAAAGACAAATACATTCCATCCTAACTTCATATGAATTATTTTTACAATATTTGGATACCTTGCAAGTTATCCCAAGATAGAAGAACTTTTAACATCTCATTTCCCTTATAAAAATATTTCCAAATGGAAGATATATGCTGGATGAAATATTCAAGAATTTGTTCCTAACGTAATAAAGGGTATATTATAAGCGTTTCAACATGAACAGATAGTATAGCAATGATATTTCACAGATTTTTTAGAGGCACTTCTGTTAGGTGGAACAAAAACGATTCGGTCAATTTAACAGCTTTCTAAATATCTTATCTTGAGTTTAACTTCATAAAAAAAAACCATATAATTAGATTTACATTTGTAAGGTTGCCCAAAACATGTATTACAAGATTTACATTTGCCATGTCTTCCAAAACTACATATAGCCAGATTTACATTTGTCTTGTCTTCCAAAACAATATATCAACAGATTTACATTTTTCACGAACAACACATGGGTGAAACTCGTAGAGCTGAAACTGCATTCAACTACGGGGTACTCGAGGCCATCCCTGTTTTTCCCGTATGTTCATGTTTCTCAATCTTTTTGACTAATTCAATGGAATAAATCGATTACTATAGTTTAATTGATACAATTGAACTCGGCCCTGTCACAATGTCAAATGAATCAACAATCCCTATCTCATGTTTATGGGGAAATATAACTATCTTTGTGATTTTATTAATTAGTAATAGTATAAAAATTATCCAAAAAACGTAATTTCAGAGTTATTTTGTGTTTAGATCATGGCACCTTCATGATTGTCTCATAAGGTCTTTGTTTAGAAATATGCATACAACTCCTTCTGATAATAAAAGTGTTATTCTGATATTTGGGTAATGTTTGCCATCATTTTGACTACTCTAAATGTGGATATTTAACTTAAGAATTGTTTTTGCTTATTTCCTGATCACAGAAATTACCCCAAAAATATCCCTTGTGCATTTAGTTTGAACAAGTCAACAATAATTGTGTTCCGGGCACACATATCTTCTGATATACAAATTGATACCACACATTACAAGTTTGGGCATTAAAATCCGAAAAAAATATTAACAGTTACAGTATGCAATTAAGTGAAAACCACTGTATTTAACATGAAATAAATATCGACCTGCTTTTTATTCAGCGCCACACACCAAGTCGGTCATAATAACAGCTGTCTCAATACCCTTGCTGATTTGCTGTGCTTGAGCCGTATTAATAGAGTCACACTTAGATTTGATTGGAGATACACAATCCTTGAAACTTTTGATTTTTTCTAAAATAGATGATAAATAAAATGTGTATGCATAATATGCATTGTAACTAAATCAAATTGAGTAAAGCAATAGTTTCATTTTTATCAATTTTCCCCATAACATTTGGTAAACTGAATACACATTTTTTCAAATAAATAATAATTCAATAACATGCCTCTATTATATGCAAAAGGTAATATTTCAGTCCACTTTAAATCTAAGTATAAGAAGAGTAAAAATAAAATCACAGCTTAGTGTAAAATTTTAACACTATTCAGTCAAACCTGTATTTTAAGAGATCCCTTAAGGGAGAAGATCTTTTTTTTTAAGGTTGGTCCTTGAATACACATTGGGCTAGATGGAACAATTATCATGCAAAAGTTTTGCATGAGTACTTACTATTGTTACTGTTGTATTCTCATTTGAAGCTACACCAATACATATATTATGCATACATCAAAGGCATTATCATTCAGTGTTTAAGAAGAAATAAAATGTTTTCCATTCTTTTGTTAATATGAACTTGCCTTGAAAGTGGCAAATCGTCTTAATTTACTTGCATCTTAGTGATTCGTGTTTAAGTCAACTCTTCTGTTTTGTATTGTTCTTGCTCAGTCTTATTTGTTTAACCATTAGAAGTTTTTTTAGAAAATTATTTTTAGTAAAGACTCTTATAACAACACCACTTTAGAGATGGCATCATGACTTTAATGAGTTCGTTATGTTTCGGTGCCTCGGGCACCATCATCAGGATAAAAACAATAAAAAACGTGCTTAAGCACAAAACTGAAAGTGATAATTAACACGTCACATAGTCACCATTGTGAGTAATTGTAAATATAAAGTGAAAGTAGGTATAAAAGTAAACTTGAAATAGAATGTTGAATACAATGTGTTTGTCATAGAAATTAAAACGTTTTTTCTGTCTGAAATATCAAATTACGAAAGTGGATAAAAAGTAAAATAAGAAAAATACCGAACTCCAAGGAAACTTCAAAACGAAAAGTCCCTTATTTATCAAATGGCAATATCAAAAACTCAAACACATCAAACGAATGGAAAACAACTGTCATATTCCTGACTTGGTACAGGCATTTCCTTTTGAAGAAAATGGTGGATTAAACCTGGTTTTATAGCTAGCTAAACCTCTCACTTGTATGACAGTCGCATAAAATTCCATTATATTGACAACAATGCGTGAACAAAACAAACAGACATAATAGGTAAACATATCAAAAATAGGGGTACAGCAGTCAACATTGTGTTATAAT